AATATGGTTGAGTAAAGAGTTTGTTTTATTCAGCTAATATGTAAGAAGAGATTGTGATAATTAAGCTTGTAATTGTTCTCGAGTTGTTGTTAATCTAAAGAACGAAAATCCTTTGTGGTAATTGATAAGAAAATCATTCTCGTGTTAATGAAATACCCCTCAATTACATTCTCACATTTTTAATCAAAAATTACTTTGTTTAATTCAAAATTCGTATCAATTTCCAATTTGAATTTATTGCTTTCCTTAGTTCAACGAACCAACCTATCCCCCACATTTAATCAATTTCGTATATAACTATTAATTTTACCTTCTAGTGTGCAATTGATTAAATTGNCCCCCCCCATTTAATCACTTTAGTATATAATTGTTAATTTCAATTTCTAGTTTGCAATTGATTAAATTGAAACAATCCTCTGCGGGAAATGTCCCTTACTTGCCATATTACTATTTAAGACGACACATTTAAACTAAGTAAGGAAAATTAATTGGAACGTCATTTGGAACGTATCACGTCGAAACCTTGAATATTTTCTGGAATGAGTAATTCATTTAAATTGACGAATTCATTCCCAATTTCACTTTGACAGGTGATCACTAATTCTATATATATATTTTAATTCTTTTATTATTTTTCTACACGAGCCACGAGCCGGCTCATGTAAAAAAGAGCCCACGAGCCTGCTCGGCAAACAGCTCGTCTAGCGAGCCGGCCCGTTCAGCTCGTGCTCGGGCTCGTTTTTGCCGAGCCGACAAGCTACTCGGTTCAGTTGCCACCTCTAATTTGAAGCCTTGGTGTTTTGGTTTGGTTTGGAAGCTGTTAGTGGCGATGTCGTAGAATAAATATAAACAATCTTTAATAGAAGTAAAGCAAAAGAAGTTAAGGCTCGTTTCACCCTCATTAAATTTTAATTCATCTATATCACCCCTTTTATTAATTACACATTTTATCAATAAAATAATATTATATATAAAATGAAAAAAAAATTCTTACTTTTTAACTACAAATTTTTCAAAAAACAATATTCCAAAATTAATTTTTTTTTTTCAAATAATGAAGCTCAAACAAGGGCTAAAAATAATTTGTATTAATAATTAATTATATTAATAGTTTAATTGGGCATTCGGTTTGATCTCGATTTGAGCATTCGATCATTTTTTTTTTCGATATCCGAATCGGTTTTTAAAACATTCAACAAATGCAAGTTTGTATTACATTCCAAACATATAGAAATTTTGACCAGAGAAGGAATATAAACACCTCTTGCTTCATTCCAATATTTGTCCTTGTCCAAAGCGTCTTTAACCCCTCTCGTTCACTTTTTTGACATTTCTTCAGAATACCCCGATATCATTTCAAATAGAGCCCCTGTTTGAATCACATTAAAAATCTCATTCTCATTCTTCTATCATTTTCAATCACATATTTTTCAATAAAATAATATTTTCCATCACATCAATAACCTTTTTTTTAACCATACATTCTCTATCAATCTACTATTTCAAAATACATTTTTTCAAAATAATGTGACTCAAACACACCCACAGTTTATTTATTTATTTATTTTTTTCATCCTAATTGAATAAATACTAGTAATAAATTAGCATTAACAATCTCCACAGTTACTCGTGTCTAGGCCATTTAATTGAAGGCGCTCCGAGGCTGTGACTATTTTCTAGGGTTAGGGTTTTTGATCGATCGATTGATTTGCCTAAATTGTATATAAAATAATCCATGGGTACGGAAGCTGAATCGAGCGTGGGTGCTGGTGCTGGTGCTGGTGCTGGTGAAGAGGTGAACGTCAACATTCGTTGTTCCAACGGCTCGAAAGTCTCCGTGCGGACGAACCTTGGTTCGAGGGTGGGAGAATTTAAAGCTCTACTGGCACAGAATTGCGATGTACCAGTTGAACAGCAGCGTTTGATCTACAAAGGTCGAATCTTGAAGAACGACCAAATCCTGATTAGCTATGGTATGTCATTTCGAAATTTCACATTCGAAAAGTCATATTTCATGTAAATTTTCGGATGCAACATTACAAGTGGTGTGGTTTTTTTGGACGTAAATTTTCNGATGTAAAATTTCGAAAATTTTTGATGTTATATTCCATATAAAATTTCCTAATAAAATGATGAAAATTATATTGAGAAATTTGTATCGCAAAAATAATAAATGTTAATGAAATAATTGAATTTTTTTTAAAAAAAATGCGAGTTAGATTTCTTTTTTAAGACTCACGTTTAACGTTTTTAACTATTTTCGATATTTGTTTGGACTATTCAATATGCTTATAATGTAGTTCTTAAAATAAGTTTCGAAATGACATAAGTATTTGTAGATTAGATTAGCGTACGATCGTCGAAAAATTTTAAAAATTAGTATATTATCGAAATTCAAATTTATTTTGATTTTGCCCCCTTTTGGTGGAGATTAAAATCAAATTTTTAGTAAATTTTGATAAAAGTTACATAGTTATGGATTTCATGAAATATGTAATATGTTATTAAAATTAATTGTTAACTTTAATTTAGATTTCAATCGATACCAAACATGATTTTATATAAAAAAATAATAATAACAAAAGGAAAAAAAAATTAAAAAAAGGTTGTCAGCGGTTTTACAAGGCTTTGCGTTGCATGAGAATCTCATGCAAGGCAAAGCTCATTTCCTTCTCGCGCGCAGGAGAATGGGACTGTCACTGGGAATTGTTTTATTAAGTCCTCATGAGTTGGAATGTCAATTTCAGTAATTGAATTTGAATTTATAAACGAGAGAGATGCTAGACATTGTATTGGGTTGGTACGTGGCAACTGTTTTTAGCATAGGGGCAGTTGGTATTTTTAGAGCTTAAGGTTAACAGAGCCGGTAGGAAAGGCTCGTGCAGTATGAACAAATATGGCTCACTTAGGCCTTTTGCTAGAACTTTTGCCATCAATTAGGATAGACGAGAAGACTGTAGGGAGTTTAATATGAAGCATATGCCCGGCTATATGCATTCCCCGAGGGTTGCATTGATTCAAACTTGCAGAAGTGGAATTTCGTAGGTCACTTTTTTTTGGGGCATGCCAGCCTTTAAACTTGCTAATTTTTCTGGCTCCTAATCCTGATAAGATGTTCTATTTGCTGCATATAGTGTTCCTTAAATGGTCACTAAAGTTTTGGGCCCGCCGGCCTTTAAAATTTCCATTTTTTCTGGCTCCTAATCCTGCTAAGATGTTCTATTTGCTGCATATGATATTACCAAATGGATGCAAAAATTTGATGCGGTCTTCTGTCCAAGGTTGAAGTAATTTTCTTAATTCCAGTTGGCACGTTTTGGGGATTCTGGTTACCATTCTCTACTACAAGTTGGCAGGTGTGGGACCACCACATTTATTGATATGTGACTTTCTGGATCGTGCCCAAAAATAAAATATAGAAGTCAAAATTCTAGACTCCTCGGGTATGAGATGTCTTGAACCAATATCTGACAGTATAATAGAAATAATAATTACGACTTCTCTATTATTTGCTTTTTGATCACTTGATTTCTGACTCTGGACGTATATTTGTATGTTACATGTGAAGCTTTTTAGATTCTTTCCTTAAATAATTTTTCTTCTGTATTCCTTAGCGACCTCTCACATTCCCTTCTCTTGACACTGACTTTCTAGTTCTATCTTTTCTTTTGAAGGCTTGCAGGCAGATCACACAGTTCATATGGTGCGTGTTTCTGCACCAGCTGCAACACTGCCCACTGTCAGTGCTGGAAATGCCAACAGTACTCCTGGTGACACCCAAGGTTCTGGTACCAATGAAATGGGTACTGGTACTGATATAGATGCATCTCAATTTCCAGGGCTTGGTTTTGGTGCAGTTGGTGGCAATTGGACATCTGGGTTATTTGGAGCTGGTTTTCCAGAGTTTGAACAGGTGCAGCAGCAACTAACTCAGAGCCCTAACATGATGAGAGAGATGATGAACACGCTTGTCATTCAAAGTGTAATGAATAACCCTGAGATTGTGCGCAGCTTGATTTTGAGTAATCCTCAAATGCGTGAGATAATTGACCGCAACCCTGAACTGGCACACATTCTTAATGACCCCAGCATCCTTCGCCAATCATTGGAAACTGCAAGAAACCCTGAGTTATTGCGTGAGATGATGCGGAACACTGACAGGGCAATGAGTAATATTGAATCTTCTCCTGAAGGGTTTAACATGCTCAGGCGAATGTATGAAGATGTACAAGAACCCTTCTTGAATGCGACAACAACGGGTTCTGGTGCAACTGATTTGGGATCAAACCCGCTAGCAGCTCTCCTCGGAAATCAGGGTGGTGGTGACCAAACCAGAGATGGATCTAATCGTTCAACTGCTGGGTCTGAAACTACCACTGGGGCTGCATCTCCCAATACCAATCCACTTCCCAACCCGTGGAATAATTCTAGTGGTAAGATAAGATTTCTGAGCGAATTCATAAGTTATTTTATCGACTTATTTTATTTGGTTATAACTCTGCAGACAGTATTTTGTATAAAGAGTTCTTATAATCAAATTAACAGAATTAAGCCTCTTTCTGGTCAATGCTGTCTTGACCTTGTTGAAAGTTTCTGGTTGTAATATACTGTTATATTCCTTTTATTTTAGTTTTTAACTTCTAATTTATGTGGAATTGTAGTGTTTTAACTTTTTATCTTTAAGTTGCCACTTTTGAAGACCTGGAAATTATGGGCTCCCCCTTTCTGTTTAAATATATGTAACCAAAAAATCCATGAGATGTCCGACTCTTAGCTTCCCATTCTAGTATGATCATTGATGCCATAAATGCACGGAATAATGTATTTACGGCCCCAATATCTGAAACCCTTATTTCCTGGTACGATTACCTTCTTTTTACAATCTACACTTTTCTGTAATGATGAATTTATGCAACCCTCCATGCTTTGTTAAGTTAGACACCAGTTGTGTCAAATGCATTTCATATTGCCTTTTGATGTGGTGCTGATGTTATATTCTTCTCTCTCTCTCTACATCTATCTTTCTGTGTTGTTTGACGACTGTCTATATTACTCTAATCAAATCTTTCTCTGGAAGTCTCACGCAAAGTCATGAATAAATTTTCAGGAGGGTCTCAAACAAATAGTGCTTCTAGAGCTAATCCAACTGCCGATGCCAAATTGCCTGACATTACTGGGCGAGGAGGGATTGGTCTTCCTGGATTGGAGCGCATGGTAGGCATGCCAGATCCTTCTTCATTCAATCACCTCCTGCAAAATCCTGCCATGGGGCAGATGATGCAAAGCTTGCTTTCCAACCCTCAGTATATGGAGCAGGTACTACTAAGACTGAAGAGAAGCCGGTCGTGTATTTCATTTGGATTTTGATCTAATTTTAATCATGTTTTGATTTCAGATTCTGGGCTTCAATCCTCAACTTCGCAGCATGCTTGACACTAACCCTCAATTACTAGAAATGATGCAAAACCCAGATATTCTTCGCCAGTTGACCTCACCTGTGATGATGCAGGTATACCTTGGTGGACAGTTGCTGTAAGTCTTGGTGATTTGTTAATCACAATGAGTTGTGATTGTGAGATACAAATTACATATGACTGAATCTTAAATCGTCCGTGGTCGAGGTATAACGAGATACGGATATCGTTATTACGGATAGACTATCGCGTGTGACATTCTTACTTGTGAAGTAATTAGTTGATCTCACAAGCTAAAGTGTGGTGACACTTGAATGAACACGTGGATGTTTTGTTATAGAACAAAACATTGGAGACCCGCTGAGAGATTCCACATGGACAACTATCTAAGTGTTAGTGGTTAATCTCTAATGTTCGGTAGTGGAATTGGTCCTTTGACTTGAGGTCATCATAGTACCTTATATGAGGGCAGTCATACTTTGGTGATGTTGGATGTTGCTCTGTCAAGGGTCGCTAATACAGCATCGTTCGGGTATGTCAAGAATCATATGAAGGTTGTGAATGATCAATAGAGGATTCGTCACTCTTAGATAGTAAGAGATTATGATCTACATTTTATCCAGTTAAGTTGATAATGAAATCCTTGGCCAAGGTGAACTCATAAGTCGGAAAAGAGTTTTCGACGTACATTGACTTAACAGTGGGATAAAAGATATGATCGATAATTGAGATTGACACATATCCATATCTCATAATTGATCGGATCATATTGACGAAAGGATTATAGTTTCACGGTAAACGAACAAGTTTGGTTTTGTCATGCTACGTGATATTTCCCGTCACATGTATTGCCCTGATACATTGCTAGATGTCAATCTGGGACAACGAAAATGAATTAGTGATAAATTAAAAGGGGCGTTTTAATTTATTGATTTTGATTAGATCAAAATAATAATTCACGTCGTTCGGCATCGTGATCGGGAACCTAATGGGTCACACACAAAAGAGAATCAGAAGAATGAGATTTACCAATTAATTAATTGACAAGTGTTGGATAATTAATTAATTGGGTTGTTTATTAATAGGCCCGAATTAATTAATTGGATTAATTAATTCATGGACCAGATTTAATTAATTTGATTAATTAAATATTGGACCGGGTTAAGTTTAATAGATGGGCCGAGCCCATCTGGACTTATATTAATAAGCTGTTAGGGTTTGAAAAACAGTAGAGAATTTCATTATTCTTGCTAGCACAAGAAAAGAAAACCCTAGCCGTCATTCTTATTCTCTGTGTGGATCACCATTGGAGGCTGGACAATTGGACAGCTTGGATTGCAGATCGTGATCATTGGAGTTCAAGATAAAGCAAAAGAGTTTGTGGAATTCATCAAAGGTATCATTCTCATCACAGTTTCTATCTAAACACATTGTAGATCTTCGTTTGGGAATTGAAAATTATTTTATTTTCGCTGTGCATGATTAAGTAAATTCCCAACCGTTCCTACCTTCTCTACCCTCATTTCCATGATCCAATTTTTGTGCAATTTGTCTTTATTTTTTCATTTTCATTTTTAGTTTTAATATATTAATTAGACTGTTATTTAAGATTTTTGCATGAATACTCAAAAGGTAACTTGAGTTAAAAATTAAAAGATAAAATAAACAACGAATTTGACGTGCTAATGATGGATTTATTTCTCAGAGTAGCCTTCTAAATATGCTTCAAAAAATCCACCACATGAAAGTTCAAAGACAACTTTTATTAATAAGTTAATAATATCTACCCTGTACCGGACAGTTGGAATGCATACCTTAAATAGGTTCAAATTATTGGAACCTAGTTTTCTTACTATTCTGTGAATTTATTAATTCAACAAATGATGGAATTGCAGCAGCAAATTTCTCAATATAGTCGGCAGCAATCGACTCTGTGAGTGTTTTTAGTATAAAGCTATAAGCTCTTATTTGCTTTTTTGTTTTCCATATAGATTAAGCTATTTATGCAACGGACTCATAAAATATTTTCAATCTTGAATGTTTCATGACAGTGAGCACTGATGTCCACTTTTTCTATTTGTTCTTTTTTTGTGCTTAATTATGGAACAAAACCGGCCCTTATTTTGTATAGCTTTTGTTGGGGATAGTCTTATGGTCCTCAATAAAAGAGGAGCCATTCAATTTGGTGATTTTCAGGGTTTGAGGTTTGAAAATATTGGTAGCTTAAGTGTATTTGGGTGGATTCGAATTAGATTTACATACCAATAAAAATTAAATTTATTTATGAAGTTAAAAAATATTAAAGAGTCAGGTCTGGTTTTTGGTTTTCATAAAACCAATTTTAATTTTTTACTGACTTTGAACTGGGCTTTCTTACCGTCATTTACCTTGTGTAAGGGCAGCTTACATGACTTTCAGGTACTAGTAATGCTTTCAGTTGATACACAATTAGATTATTTAGTGTCGACTCATGCATTCTAACTCACCTTATGCCTTTTAATTTTGGAAACTGCAGAGAAGGAGCTCTAACTGGTCAGGGTACAGGTAAGATGTGAGAAAATGTAAATCAAGAAAATTGTACACACGTGAATACATGATAATTGTTTTAGTTTTACACCCATACATATCAATTTGTCGATGCAACTGCTTTCTTTGTTTTACCAATGGCAGGAACACAACGTAACATGAGGCTCGATTTGCTGAGGAATATGTTTGGTGGACTTGGAGCTGGCAGTTTGACGGTTCCAAACACTCCCGATGGTTGCATTTCTCATAATTTGTTTTCTTCAATATTAATTTTTTTCCCCATGTATTTCTCGTCTCCAGGTCTGTTGAACATGCAGATCTTGTCTCCTTTTGCAGTACCTCCAGAAGAACTATATGCAACTCAACTATCTCAACTTCAAGAGATGGGTTTCTTTGACACCCAAGAGAATATCAGAGCACTACGTGCTGCATCGGGAAATGTTCACACTGCAGTAGAACGACTGTTGGGGAACCTCCGTTAATAGTTTCACGACTGTTGATGTGTATTTTCATTGGAGACCTGGGGACGTGTAAATTAATTAATCCTTGGAAGCCAGATTTTTCTTAACAAAATTGTGGGGCCGAATAGTGCTGCTCCATTTTGGTCTTGAGGAAAGAATGAGTGCACTTCTAGAGTCGGAGTTGTTAAACGCATTCTCTTTATCGTTTGCCTGTGTACATACATATTTTAAAAATATTTATTGATGTGCAAAAAAATGTTGTAATTTTTTTTTCTTGAATTGAGGATGTGAAATGGTTTGTTTGACCAGTTTGCACGGTTTTATGCTATTTGTTTGATCTTGATCGCGTTGGTTCCCTAATGGAGGTTGGCTCCCTAGGATGAGAACTACCCCCTTTGCTTAAAAAGTTTGGGTTAATGTGAGTACCACAATAAGTAAACTGCAGAGTAAGGCAACTTCTATGGAAATAAAAAGCAGCATTGGGGGAATCATCCCTAAGAATGAAGATTTTGATGAAAAACAAAAGAAGGTGAGAGAGATAATTACCAGAAAACAAGCCCAACAAAAGAGAACAATGAAGAAAAAGTAATGAAGATGCTCACGCAAAGAATTCTAAGCGAAAGGCGAAAACAGTTGAATTATGCAAAAAAAAATCAGTCGTTTGACTTATTTTGAACAATCGTAACCATTGAATACTATGAGTCATCTGATCAAGACTTTAAATGAACTGGCAAGATCGCGTGTAATCTACACGTGCATAAAGTGCGCACGGGCCACTAACTTGGATACATGCAAATACACGTAAAAAAACGGTTGCAATCATGACATATCTCCTCAATGTAGTACATGTCAGCCACCAAAAAAATATATATATATAGTAATGCCATCTATAAGTTCACAGCTTGACAATAAACAAGTCTTAAATTTAATATGAATGATAGAATCAAATTTTGAGGACTATTTGTACAACCAAGAAATTTATCTTGCGAGCTCATCCTCCTTTAGGTGAAGTATAAAAGTATGTGATGACAATTAGAACGTAGAAGGTTTTTAGAAGAAAAGGGACTAACCATCCACCTCTATGGTAACAAAAGGCGTTGTCAAAACACACGCGAGTAAAAATGAAAAACATGACTTCTAAATCAATGAATAATATGTGAATGCATAACATAATCATTCATCAATCCACCATTAAACGACTACCATTTATAAATATTTCCACGTAAGAGAAGGAGGGACATGCAAATTTAAATATCTCATTTCCAAATAGCCAAATCCCCTCTTGCTCCTATTTGAGCATTGAAACCAAAGAATTTAAGAAGAGAAAATCCTGATTAGCTGAGAATTTTTTGTTTTTTACGATCAACAATGTTTATAGTATAACAATATGGTCTCAAAGTTGTGGTTTTATATTATCAATATCATGTAATTATTTGTTTACTTTGTTCACGATGTTGGTAGAACCTAATTTAAACAAATTAAAATTTAGTGACCGATTAAAATTTTGTTAAAAGTTCAGTGACATGTCTTAATTTGGTTAGCTATCAGAGTTAAATGTACGAAACAACCATCTTCACATCAAGCACAATTCAGCAGTACAAAAAACTCCCAACTGCTGCAGCAAACGTTTTCTTGTCTCTACATGTTGAACTAGAATTTTGGCAAATGCATGTTGATGAGCTGGTTGGTGTGGGCAAGTCGATGAGTTGCTTTGTTAAAACCATCATTAGGTGATACTTATTTACCTAATCAAGATTCCTTTCATCAGCACTCACTCTATACCGTTAGTAGTGCATATTCAGCTGTCTGGGACTCATCTTTGGGACCACATTAATCTATTGTAACAATATTGATTCACACATTTATTTTGTAGATTTTAGCTTGCTCATTACTCCAGTTTAGCTTATAAATATAGATGGCATTGTAACCTTCAGATGACAATAAGAAATACAATTTTATCATCATCATCTTGCTATTAAATTACATCTTTCAATTCTGATTTTTAACTTGGTATCAGAGCCAAATGGCTAACACAGGATCAAACGATAACACTCAGTCTGCACAGCCCATTTCCAGCACCTTGACGCCTCCAATGTTGGGAGGTAATCAGCTGCAAACACCTGAAATAACTCTAACCCAAGTTCCATCAGTCAAGCTTGATCGAAACAACTTTTTACTCTGGAAAAACACGGTAATGCCAATCATCAAAGGCCACAATCTTGAAGGATTCATCACAGGAACAAGAAGCTGCCCTGCTGAGTTTCTGGCAACTCATACCACTGGTTCAACTGGAGTTACAGTTGAGATGGTGCCAAATCTTGAGTTCGGAAAATGGGTGTCAACAGACCAATTACTGATGGGTTAGTTGTATTCTTCAATAACACCAAAAATTGCAATGAGAGTAATGGGATCCTTAAGGTCCTCAGATTTATGGAACGCTGTACTTGAAAGTTTTGGAGCTATGAATAGATCAAGGGTTATTTTTCTTGTTAGTGAGCTCCAGAGGACTAGAAAAGGAGCAATGAACATTGACAGATATCTCAACAACATCAAACAATTGGTGGATAACCTCGAAATAGCTGGAAAAATCATTCCACATAATGACCTTGTGACTCAAGTGTTGGCCGGATTAGATGATGAATATACCCCTATTGTAGTCCAAATCAACAGCAGGGAATCAATCACTGGCATGAGTTACAATCGATACTTATGACTTATGAGAGCATAAATGAGCATCTCAGCACCCTGAAAAATAGTCTGGCATCAGTCAATTTAAGTGAAGCATCAGCAAATTTTATCCACAGTCCTAACACCTCCAAGGAAAGAAGATTTAATTATGGTGGCAGGAACAACAACAGCTATAGAGGAAACAGAAGCAGAGGTAGAGGAGGCAGATTCTTCACTAATGGAAACACTTGCCAAATCTGTGGTATGAATAATCACTCAGCTGCTAGGTGTCTCAACCGTTATGATGAAAGGTACATGGGTGCCAAACCAAATTATCACTATCAGAATAGCTCTCCTGAACCAACTGGCTTGCTGGCTTCCTCTAGGACAGTAGCTAATCTAGCTTGGTATGCAGACTCAGGAGCCACAAATCATGTCACAGCTGAAAAGGGAAACTTGACTGAAACTTTGGAATATGGTGGTAAGCAAAAACTTGCTGTTGGAAATGGTAACAAACTTTCCATCTCTCATATTGGCACAAATCACCTTAATGCACGGAACAATAAGTCACTTGTTCTTAATAATGTGCTTCTAGTTCATTCAATCCAGAAAAACTTATTAAGTGTTTCTCAATTGACCTCTGATAATAGAGTATTCATGGAATTTCACTCTGACTATTGTGCTATCAAGGACAAAGGAACGAAGGAGCTGCTGCTGGAAGGGAGAATTAAGGATGGATTATATTAGATTAAATTGCCAGATGAAGTTACTCAGTCCCCTACCTCAAATGAAGTCACTCAGATTCCTGCATTACAATCAGATCACTCAAATAGTTTTAAATCTTCCATTTTTATTGCTCAGTCAAAAGATCTCACAAAGTCTTTATCTAACCTAAAGTTATGGCACATTAGATTAGGACATCCCTCTATCTCTGTAATGTCTCAAGTGTTCAAACTATGTAATGAAAAGTTTGATATAAATGAAGTTCATCCCTTCTGTGATGCTTGTCAGTTTGGCAAAGCTCATTCACTGCCCTTTAAACTCTCAACCTCGTTCTCCACTGCACCTTTTAACTTGGTTCACACAGATGTTTGGGGTCCAGACCTTTTGCAATCAACATCAGGTTTTAAATACTGTATTCTCTTCATGGACGATTTCAGTAGATTTACATGGATATATCCTATGAAAGCTAAGTCTGAAGCACTGAGTTCCTTCATCCAATTCAAGAACTTAGTTGAAAACAAATTCAATAGAAAAATCAAAACTCTCCAATCTGATTGGGGAGGAGAGTTTAGAGCCTTCACTGATCTTGCTCTTCAATCAGGAATTCATATGAGATTCTCCTGTCCATATACCTCCTCTCAAAATGGCAAAGCTAAAAGAAAGCATCGTCATATCACTGAAGCAGGCTTAACACTTCTTGCTCAGGCAAGTATGCCTTTGCACTACTCGTGGGAGGCGTTTCACACAGCCACCTACCTTATTAACAAACTTCCTACTCCTGTTCTTCAAATGAAGACACCCAGCCAAATTCTGAACAATGAAGAGATCAGTTACAAATCACTAAAAGTCTTCGGATGTGCATGTTTTCCTTGTTTAAGACCATATTAGCCTCACAGATTTAGCTTTCATTCCATCAAGTGTGTTTTCCTTGGTTTCAACAACTCTCACAAAGGCTATAAATGCCTTAGTCCTACTGGGAAGATATATCTGTCTAGGCATATTGTATTTAATGAGAATGAATTCCCATTTCAACATGGTTTTCTAAACAAAATCAGTCATCCCACTGAAACTACCATACAATACTTTCCTCTCAACATTCCTTCTGATTCCAGTCCTGTAGGATCATCTGATGCAATTCATCCTAGTTCAACCCCACCAGCAACATCTCACAGTTCAAATCCACCAGTGGAAAATGAAAATGAGTCTCCAGAAGCAGTTGAAAACTATCCTTGTAATGGAACTGAACGTACTGAGGATGTGCAAACTGAGTCAAATAATCAAATAAGTCGAGAACTAGTTGAAACTCAAATGCAACATGTTGAACACCCTATGATTACTAGAAGTAGAGCATGGATTTTTAAACCAAAAGTTTACTCTACACTTTGCAAGAATCCTAAAAACGATCTGAGAAATTCTGAGCCAAATGATGTGTTTGAAGCCTTATCTGATAGAGCCTGGAAAGAGGCTATGGAAGAAGAGTACAAAGCTCTTATGAGGAATGAAACCTGGAGGCTAGTACCACCCGTGACAAATCAGATGGTCATAGGTAACAAGTGGGTTTTAGGCTCAAAAGAGACATTGAAGGAAATGTTTTAAAGCACAAAGCTAGGCTAGTTGCTAAAAGCTTTCTA